GGCGAGCATGTGCGTGAGCATTCGTGGTACATCCCTACCTCAAACCCGCTTCACTTTGAGGCCCCCCACCCCCTTTCCCACCACCACCGCCTACTCCTTTCGTCTCTGTCTCTCTCGCCGATTCGCGGAAGGCAGTCGGGCGAAAAGCGATGTTGTTGGCAAGACAATGCGCGTCATGACGGTACGGAAACAGCTCAATCTGCACGCGTCACAGGGCAGCACGCCCGTCACCCCGGCAGGCAGACACACACACACACACACACACACACACTCACGTCAGTTCACGTTAGGGATCAGCGACAGACAGACAGCAGCCTACTCGCCATCAGCAGTGAAGTGGAACGGTGGGTAGATTTCTACCTGGCCTCTGACGGTCAGAGTGTGGGCATTTAACGCCTTGGTGCGGCACCAGCACTGCTGACTGTGCCTTTAAACTTGAACAGAACAAGCCAAAAGGGAGGGTTTTATAGTAGAAAACGATCCCATATTCCGTTGCGACGCTTTAGACGTTCTGCTGGAGCTCAGCGGCGTCACCAGCTCCGCTCAACAAATCCAATACTCGCTTGGCACACGGTCCGGCCGGGCAGGCCAGGCGGGCAGCAGGGAGGAGGGCCCTCGTCCGATGCTGTTGTGTTAGGCCGGCGGCCGGCGCCATGGAGGGAAAAGGAAAAATAACACCCCCAGTAGCAACAAAAAAAGGCAAAAAATAAAATATATATGAAATAAAAAAAAATGAAGAGGCACAGCGCGCAACGCGATTCACCCCGTCATATTATTCACCGAGTCGAAGCGAGCAGCAGGGCTGGCCTGGCTGGCTTGCCGGTAGTCCATTCCAATGGGCGTTCAGGACCCCGACTGTCGTCCATCACCGAGCGAGGGGGTCAGGGGACCGTCAGGGGACGGGAAGGAAACTGTAGTACAGCGTCAGACATCTACTGAACGGCCGCGCCTCTGTCAGCCTCCATACCCCAGCGGACAGGTTGTTAGGGTGCCAGAAACGGTTTCACAGACCTAAAGTCTCTCTTACTAGACTAGATGCTGTCGCGATCGGATGAAAAAAAAGCGGGCTATGGTAAGGGCGTCGTCATTCGAGTTCGAGTGGTGGAAAATTTCCGAGAGAGGGGGGCAAAAAGAGAGGGAGCAGAACAGTTGTCAAGCAGATGGGCCTGAACCGTGCAAATCGTTGATGGATTTCTACATCTGTCTCTTTCCTTTCTCCCAACTCGCATTCTTCCTTTTTTTTCATGCCACTACACCCACACCACGGCGGCAGCTGTTCCGCGTAACGCTCATTGCGGCATAATATGAACTCCAATATGAAAGTGTAATGGCGCGCGACGTCCGGAAGCCCTAACCTTCTCGCTGGAGTGACAGCCCGCTCTTCCGGGCACCCCCCTCCCAGCCACGCGCCAGCCGAGCGCCACCCGAGCGACACGCAAACCCGTTAAAACCTTCCGGTACTCTTTGCCACCACTTGCGTCATGGTTGGCAGCCCACGCGTTTATTTTTTTTCTTCCCTTTAACCTACTCCTCTGTTTTTAATGTAGCTGCTACGAAATGCGAAAAAAATGAGATGGCCTTTCTGCGTGGGGTCGCACAACGCTATTTTCTTTGCCAACTTTTTTGCCGCGCTCATTTTCAAAATAACGCGACGTAGATATATCCAGCACCTCGCCCCGCCCAGTAGCACAGCGGCAACTGTTTGAATTAATCTTGGCGAGCAGCGTGCGGCCTTAACCCACACTCGTGTCGCACAAACACGGACTGCACTAATGAATCTCGAGCAACGTATCAGCTGCAGTCCGACCGACCTTGCGAGGAACGCAGTCGCAGCGAGCACGACTGTGGCGCGCGCACGTAGCTAACCCCACGCGACCCGTTAGAAACGTTTTGCCTCTTACAGTATTTGTTTGCGAATAGAAACGTTTTGAAACAAAAAACATTGCTTCAGATTTTGTGACCGGTTTGGAGAAAGATAATATAATAATGAATCAAAAAATTAATGATGGCATTGGAGGGTTTGTCAGTACGTTTTTCAAGAGCGTCTTAGAACGCGAGAGCAAAGTAGGGGGACACAGACCGGAGGAGAATGAGCTAAACCTAGAGTTCATATCATGATTTAAAGGGATATTATGTTTGCGCAGCACAGCTAAACTACATAGAGAAGTTACACTACATTTTGATCACTCCCTCCAAGGCCGCCGAACGTGTCGGCCCCTGCAGACGAGGGCTGGGCCGTACCGCAGCGGCCCGGTGTGGAGCGGGTGGCCTACCCCGCCGCTGGCAGGGGCCCGGGGTCGCCGCGCGCCCGGGGCTGCTGACCGGCAGTGTGGGGTCGTCGTGGGGAAAGGTAGGGTAAGGGGGAGGGTGGGAGCAGGGCGGGGGCGGAGCGGGGATCGGGGCGACCTCATCGCACACCGCACCGCGGCTCAATCCGAACTGCCGGGCGCGCAGCCACGCCTCGCAACCCCAATGTCATCTGTTGGTCTATAACCGCGTTGTGTGTGGGTGTGTGCCGGCGCGCCGCGCCCCGGAAACGACCGCATTCTCCTGCCGCGCGCTATTTTTAGCCCGCCCTTCTGCTTTTAAAAAAGCATTAAAGCGGGCTTATGCAACCGCCCTCGTGTCCGTCTGTCTGTCCGTCGTCCGTGTAAGAGGAAGGAGATGAGCTAGAGGTCTGCAAATTTCAGGGTATCTTAGGGGTCACTCCTGGACAACGAAACGCCTGGTGCAAATCCTAGCAACCACCCCTGAGGGGGTGAAAGGGGGTAACAAAGAAATAGGGGTTGGTCCAAAAGTAGAAGAAAAATATTTTTTTTATGGTCTCCTAAGGGGTAACTCGTGAAAGTAGAGCCCTTTGGGCGAAAATTTTGTCCGTTTGACTCTATCTTGAACCGTTTGGGCGGTAGAGTGCTTTTTTCGACAAAAATATGGCGAAAATGACACGTTGCACATAAAGACGGACAAGGAGGCGTCCAATCGTAAAATGTCAGAGGAAGTACCCCCCCAAAACAATACATTCTGAATCAGAAACTACCCTCGCATTAGCCGTATCTTTTACTGTTTCGGCCCTAGAGGTGGATATATTGAAAACAATGGCAAAAAGTCAAGTTATAAGACTCTTTGACAAACAATATACAATCTAAAAACTGCGTGGGTTCATTTTTTTTTAAATTTTTAAGCAAAGCAGAAGGGTGGGGTGTAGTCACGGTGTTGCCCCGTTACAGTCTTTTGTCATTTCCAAGGAGCAAATCTCTAGGGCCGCAGGCCCCCCGCCGAACGCTTTAGTTTACTCAAATATGCAAAGTAATTTACCGGTCACATTATTTATTTGACTATGCACTTCAGTAAATCGCGAGACTAAAATGGTCGGGCCGAAGGCCCGACCATCGCCGCCGGCAGGCCAAGCAGGCTCGGCCCCTGCCGAACGGAGTTGCCGGCGCAGCGAAGTGGAGCTGGCAACTCCGTTTGGCGGAAGGGCGGGCCTGCTTGTTCCTTCGGCTATCCCATTCCGCACTCCCCCCCCCCTTTTCCTATCCACTTTCTCTCTCTCTCCTCTGTGGCCGCAGTCGCCGCCCGGAGGTGACGCAGGATAATTTTGGGGGTGCGACGCGACGGCCAACGCCGCACGGGGGAATGGTATGTTTGGGCGTGGCGCTCACGTGACGTATCCGACCGGGAGAGAGAGAGAGAGAGAATGCGCGTGGTTTGCGGTCGCGGGGTCTGGCGCGGTTTTACTCTATATACTCTCTCGCTCCGAATGGCCACAATGCAGCCCGCGATTGGCCCTGACGCACTTTTTCAACCAAAGTAAACGACCCGCTGGTGTGGTTTCCGCCGGTTTCCCCCCTTTACGTGTTGACCGCAGCGGAGGGACGTGGTGCGTCCGAACGCACACCTTTTACCTCGCGGTTCTTCATCCTCCCTTATTCAGGAACAAACCTAACTTTGTCGGTCGACAGCGGCGCGCCTCGGCGGCGGCGAAGGTGCCAAGGAAGAGAAAAGGGAGAGAAGGAGAAGAAAAAGAATTGGCCTCTTTCGGATGCCAGCCGCGAGCAATATACCAAGCTGATTGAAACAGCGTCCGCGCCGCAGCACTGCCGACCTCCTGGCTCATAGAAATCGCAGTGGCGAGCGGAGCAGGGCTGGGAGGGGAGGCACGTTGGGGAGGAGAGCGATGCCCCGCGCCGTTTATTTACCATTTCACCTTAGCAGCCCAACACGGCCACACAGCACAAAAAAGGACACTACGTTGTGACTTGGAATTCATCGACGAGCAAAAATTTTAAAGTCGTAAATTGACGATAAATTGAACACTGTGACAAAATCGTAGTTTTACAGGGAAATGTTCCACGTTATGCGTCGTACAATTTCAGTTTGAAATTGTAAATTGCAAATTTGTAAAGTATTTTGCAAATAAAAAATACAACGAAATGTTGTAAAATAGCAGGGATACTTTTCACAGGGTTAACATTATTGTACATAAACGAAGATATTTTGCACATTGACCGCAGCGTGGGAAGTTGAGTTTCTACGTCCATATTAGTCAGGAAGGTTGAGCAGATCTCGCTTCCGGTTCATACTGTGAAAAATATCATCGTAAATTTACAAAAAAAAATGTAAACTCGAATTATAATTTAAGTTGTAAATTTACGACAGCATATTTCCTACTCGCCAAGGGATTTGAAGTTGATACATACAGCCGCACACAGCACGTAATTTTACGATTACAAATTGTAATTTTACAACTTGCGTCAAGGGAAATTTTCCTCTAAACCTACCTACTTTTTTCACAGTGTTATGAATATTTTGGTATACAATATCAAAACGTATACGATAATATGCTTACGCCTATTCCAAAAATGTGTTATGTGATGCGTTCCAGTGGGGAGGTTTAAGCCCTTGGGGGTCACTTCAATGTATACTTTGACTTTACCTACTTTCGAAGATTATGCAAAGACTGAATTCTATGGGAGCAAAATAACAGCAATACTACTCACATCGCATGTCAATGGTGACCGAGCTGAACACAGGTCTGGAGATGTTGCTGTTGGAGGCCTGGCACTGCAGGGCCTCGTGCAGGTGCCGCCTGCTGAGCCGGGCCATGTGCAGCTTCCGTGACCGGGGGCCTTTGCTCTGGCCGTAGCCGAGGTCCGTCGTGTCGGTGGCCTCGAGCTGCTGGGTGCCCCGCCACCACGAGAGTGTCGGCGCAGGGTGGCCTGCGGAAGACGAGACACGCATACCGTTAGGAAAACAACAAACAAACACGACAAAGAACATCACAGGAAAAGGCGGGCGGACGAGCGAGCTTCATAACATCAGGTTATCACATCGGAGAGAGCCTGGGAGATGATGATACCCGCCGTAAAAGCTTGCTGGGTGGTGCCACCCTCCCCCTCTCGCCCCCGCCATGCAGCGCCCTCGCGTCTTTATGTCCGTCTCCTTAATAAGCGAGCCACATCCGGGGCACGGGCCTCGCAGCAGCAGTCACCCCACAGACTGCAGGAGCAGCAGTCATCCCAACAGACTGCAGGAGCAGCAGTCATCCCCACAGGCTGCAGCAGCAGTCATCTTCACAGACTGTGGCAGCAGCAGTCATCCCCACTAACTGCAGCAGCAGCAGTCATCCCCATAGACTGCAGCAGCAGTAGTCAACCTAGCGGAATGCAGCAGCAGCAATCATCCCAACAGAATGAAGCAGCAGCAGCAATCATCCCAACAGAATGCAGCAGCAGCAGCAGCAGGCATCACCACAGACTGCAGCAGAAGCATAGCAGCAGCAGTCATCCTCACAGACTGCAACAGCAGCAGCAGCAGTCATCCCCACAGACTGCAGCAGCAGCCATCCCAACAGAGGGCGGCAGCAGCAGCAGACATCCCCACACAGACTGCAGCAGAAGCCATCCCAACAGAAGGCAGCAGCAGCAGCAGGGGCATGGTACGTCGCGCAGCCAGCCCTCCCCTCGCCGCTGGGACCAGCCCGTCCCGTCCCGCGAGGGCTCGCACCACTCGGCCGCGCTCCGCCCCGCCCGGCCCCGCTCTGCCCTGCTGCTTTATGGCGCGAATAATGCATCAAGACATGGCTTTCCATTTACGGGGGAATGTCCTGCATGTTGCGGCGCGCTCTTATGTGTTGTGTTTCGGGGGGCCCCCCGTGTGGTGGCGGCGGGCGGGCGGGGCGCGAGGGGTGGGACCATACTGCAGATCCAGTTGGGCCATACGCGTGAAACCTCATCTAATGTGAGTATAGATATTTAAAACACGAGTGAAACAAATACAAAATGGCGTATCCACCTGCGTCGTCTGGAGTAAACAAGACGGGTGATTATGGGATCATTCTACGTGCATTGTTCGCAGGAGGAGCCTATGACAGGTAGAAGGGGAAGGTGGGGTACTATGGGACACGGGGAACTATGGGACACACTCAAAATCCGCGCCACGGTTGCCCGAGGAGTCACGCGCGTGTTGCCATCTTTTTCTCCTGGGGTCAGCGAGTGTTTTAATATAGGGTGGTTAGTTACCCGTTGCGGCAGTCCGGTGTTAGAGGCG